GTCAACAGGAAGGGTGGTGGAGTGACGATATAAGTCAGAGATAATTTAAATAATTGTGTTAGAAAAGATATAAGATTAGAAACATCAGACACAGAATCTGTTTGGCTACAGTTTCTCGAGGGTCGTGAAAAGTTAATTCTGGGTGTGATTTATAGGCCCCCAAACCTTGATAGAGAGTGCAGTAAGGTGCTATGGGACGAAATTCACAAGGCATCTAGATATGAAAATATTGTGTTAATGGGAGATTTTAACTTTAGACAAACTGATTGGAACAATTTGACAAGAAATCTTGAGTCTAGTGACTTTCTTGATACAGTTCAGGATTGCTTTTTAAAACAGTTTGTGACAGAACCAACTAGAGGAAACAATCTACTTGACTTGGTTCTTGCCAACAAAGAATCACTAGTTAATAATCTTGAGGTTAATGATGAGCTTGGGGAAAGGGATCACAAATCACTTAGTTTCAATATATCATGGAGTTACCCGACTAACTGCAATCAAATCTCTGTCCCAGACTTTTGCTTGGACTGAAAAATTACCTGGGTGGGCTAAATTGGGATGTTCTGACTATGGGTCAGGTAGGTGATCTTGGTTGCCAATATGACGTTTTTCAGAGCATAGTTCTAGCTGCCCAGACAACTTTTGTTCCGAGTAGGGAAATTAGATCTAACAAAAATGATTCCAAATGGATCGACAATAAATTAAAACATCTCACTGGTCAAAAGAGAGGCATATATAGGTGTATCAAAAGAGGGGAGGGGCAGTTAAGAAATCAATATATTAAATTAAAGAGAGAAATAAAAAAAAGAATAAGAAAAGCAAAAAGGGATAATGAGGCTAAGGTCGCAAGGGATTCGAAGACTAACCCAAAAGGGTTCTTTCAGGTATACAGAAGTAAGATTAGGGACGAGATAGGCCCACTTAAGAGTACCTCAGGTTACATCACTGACAGTGAAAAGGATATGTGTGAAATTCTAAATACCTACTTCCTCTCAGTTTTCACCCAGGAAAATACTAGCGATATTCCTGAAATAATAGATGTAGAACAGGACGATAATAAACTATGCACGATTGCGGTAACTAGTGACATGGTCCTCAGACAAATAGAGAAATTAAAAGCTAACAAATCCCCAAGTTCTGATGAACTGTTTGCAAGGGTGTTAAAGGAATGTAAAGAGGAACTTTGCATACCTTTGGCTAATCTTCTCAATGTATCACTACAAACTGGCATAGTGCCTGATAAGTGGAAAATGGCAAATGTAATACCTATTTACAAGGCAGGTGACAGGTCCTTAGCTTCGAATTATAGACCAATAAGTCTTACCTCCATAGTGGGAATATTTATAGAATCAATAATTGCCGAAGCAATTCGTAGCCATCTCGAAAGGCGTAAATTGATTAATGAATCTCAGCAAGGTCTTACGAATTTACTAACTTTCTTCACTAAGGTATTTGAGGAGGTAGATCATGGTATTGAATATGATATTGTGTATATAGACTTCAGTAAGGCTTTCGATAAAGTTCCACATCAGAGGCTATCGAAGAAACTTAAGGCACACGGAATAGGAGGAGAAATTTTTTCCTGGGTTGAGGTATGGTTGACGATTAGGCAGCAGAGAGTTTGCATAAATGGGGAGAAATCGGAATGGGGGCACGTAACAAGCGGTGTTCCACAGGGGTCAGTGTTGGGCCCCTTGTTGTTCACAATCTACATAAACGACAGAGACGAGGGAATAAGTAGCGGAATAAGCAAATTTGCTGATGACACCAAAATAGGCCGTCCAATTCATTCTAATGAGGACATTAGAGCACTCCAGGATGATTTGAATAGACTGATGCAGTGGTCGGAGAAGTGGCAGATGCAGTTTAATATAGACAAATGCAAAGTTCTAAATGTTGGACAGAAAAATAACCATGCCACATATAAACTAAATAATGTAGATCTTAATACTACTGACTGCGAAAAGGATTTAGAAGTTCTGGTTAGTAGTAATCCAAAACCAAGACAACAGTGCATTAGTGTTCTCAATAAAGCTAACAGAATCCTTGGCTTCATAGCAAGAAGTATAAATAATAGGAGTCCTCAGGTTGTTCTTCAACTCTATATATCCTTGGTTAGGCCTCATTTAGATTATGCTGCGCAGTTTTGGTCACCGTATTACAGAATGGATATAAATACACTAGAACACGTACAAAGGAGGATGACAAAGTTGATCCCATGTATCAGAAATCTTCCCTATGAGGATAGACTGAGGGCCCTGACCCTGCACTCTCTAGAAAGGCGTAGAATTAGGGGGGGATATGAATGAGGTGTATAAATGGAAAACAGGAATTAATAAGGGGATGTAAATAGCGTGCTAAAAATATCTGACAAAGACAGGACTCGCAACAATGGCTTTAAATTGGAAAAATTCAGATTCAGGAAGGATATAGGAAAGCACAGGTTTGGTAACAGAGTTGTGGATGAGTGGAACAAACTCCCGAGTACTGTCATAGATGGTAAGACGTTGTGTAGTTTTAAAAATAGGTTGGTAAATACATGATTGGGTGTGGGTGAGTGTGAGTCGGACCTGACTAGCTTGTGCTGCTAGGTCGGATGCACCGCTCCTCCCTTAAGTGACGTGTATGACTTCACTAAGTCAAGGCGGCACGAGAATTGGACCTGCCTCGCATAGGCCAGTAGGGCTGTTCTTATGAACGAGCCTTTCTCTCTCTCTCTCTAACTTTCATCTTCTCTGAAGAACACTTCTAGTGTTATTGATCTCATCCTCTCGAGACATAGGTTGAAATCCACGTTACTCATGCTATCCTCCCAGCATATTTAAGTCAGGTCATGATTAATTTGATCCCCGATAATGTAGTTATTGTTGGAATTTAATTTGTTGAATACACCCTCGTTAGTGTTTGTGTTGGGCTGGCCAGGTCTAGTGTGTATGCAGGTCTGAACTTCAATTAGGTTGTGGTATGAGTTAGCTGTGTTTGACACTGTTATGGTCCGTTCCACTACTTGGTTGGGTGAGGCCAATATAATGTGTGAGAGAGGAAGAGAGAGAGAGAGAGAGAGAGAGAGAGAGAGAGAGAGAGAGAGAGAGAGAGAGAGAGAGAGAGAGGAGAGAGAGAGAGAGAGAGAGAGAGAGAGATACCTGGGAGTTCTGATGAGTTAGCACTTAACAGTAGAGTTCACCCTCTGCATCCTGGCTAAAGATAGGTGCCACCCTGGCCCGGGAGGGTTACAATCACCAACTTATGATACCATGAACTAATAGTCACGAGGTCTCTACGCTGCCTGACGGGGGACCGTATGAAGACAACCGACGAAGGTGGGGTACGAGAACAGGGAAAGAAGACAGGAAAAGTTGGTAGGGAAGCACTTCAAGATGGGCGAGTAGAGAAATTAGCGGGTGATAGATATAGGGAGAGAACTCCAAGGTTTCTTAACATGTGAGATTGGTGGGTTAACACAAAAGGTTACCACAGATAACTTTTTCCAAGTACAAATATCCCTGATTTGCCCTTCTTGTCAGCATTTTGCCATCGAGCGAGTGGTGGTGTTCACCTAGCTGGTCACTCCAGTGTCAGTGCATAAACACACATTTCAAACCATGCCACGGGCGGGGTTAGAACCCTGATCGCGGGTTCTAACCCCTCCCGTTTATGTTTTTTTTTTTTTGCAATCGCGTCATTACGATTTCGTGAGTCACACATTTCAAAATCAGTAAACTACTCATGTGAATTAATGGTGAACCATATAATCAAAGTCTACATATACGTCATTACGAAGTAGCGACGACGGTTCTTAGAGCTTTAGTTTAACATTATTATGTACCCCACACCCATCATGTGGGGACTGGACCACATAGACTTCGGGAGACTCGACACGGAACATAGAAACCTTCCGATACTGCAACAATCCTCACTGATCCAACAGGTCAATACTGTCTTCGTGAGATTCTAGTGTCTCTGTTTGGGCCCTACTATGTGTGCTGGTTCTTAATTTCTCTTGTTGGGCTCTGCTGTTTTTGTTGGTTTCAGCTACCTGTGTTGGGCTCTACTGCCTTTGCTGGGTCCTATTCTCCTGGCAAGGCGCTCCTGTTCTTGCCGAGTCCTGCTGTCTGTGTTCTGTCAGGCCTCCACGTAACTAACTTCAGTGGCCAGACTAGAGGTATGTACCAAAACATATGCGTAGTGTGCATATTCAGAGGTTACATTAATTCTTGCTTTAATGAGTTAAAGTATCCTTTATGTTACTGCACATAAAAATTACATTCTCAGCTACTCACGTGCAGATGCGTAAAAACACCGACAAGAATTGCTCACTATAAAGCTTGATAAAACTACCCTCGAGCGAAACGTCGTCCCAGTTAAAGCTCGTTCAATATACTATTTTCATATCCAGGCCTTAAGCCTAACTAATTAATGTTGTGAAGCCATTCAACGCAATCGTTCGTACAAGAGTGCAAGTCTAGGGGCAGGCGCGGCTTACAGGTCAGTACAATCCGCATGTCAGCAAACAGACCAAGTTAACATTCTTAACAGAGCAGGCCAGCATGTTAGTATATAGGGCAGGCCATTATGTTAGTATAGGGCAGGCCAGCATGTTAGTGTACAGGGTAGGCCAGCATGTTAGTATATAGGGCAGTCCAGCATGTTAGTATATAGGGCAGGTCAGAATGTCAGTATATAGGGCAGGTCAGTATGTTAGTATACAGGGCACGCCATCATGTTAGTATACAGGGTAGGCCAGCATGTTAGTATACAGGGTAGGCCAGCATGTTAGTATAGAGGGCAGTCCAGCATGTTAGTATGTAGGGAAGGCCAGTATGTTAGTATATAGGGCAGGCCAGCATGTTAGTATAGAAGGCAATCCAGCACGTTAGCATAGAGGGCAGGCTAGCATGTTAATATAGAGGGCAGGCTAGCATGTTAGTGTACAGAGCAGTCCAACATGTTAATAAACAGAGCAGACCAGCATGTTAGTATACAGTGTGGGGGAGACCTACGTGTGGGCGGCACCAGGTGTAGCAGACGGAAACTGGCACCTGTGTGTTCTGGAAAAACAATGATAAGAATGTACATCCCTGAATGACCCCAGATGTAAGTGAAAAATTAAATAATAATAATAATAATAATAATAATAATATAATATAATAATATAATAATGTACTTGCTACGACTACTACTGATAAAATAATAAAATTAAAAATAAATTAATAATACTACCTCTACTGATACTACTACTACTAATACTAATACTAATACTACTATACATAATAATAATAATAATAATAATAATAATAATAATATAATAATAATAATAGTAAACAATATAGTAATTGTAAACATATAAATATTTATTTACTGTTACTACTGCTAGCAACAGTACTTCTACAACTAGTAGAACTGCTTCAATTACTACTGTTACTAATAATAATAATAATGATTATAATAATAACTAAATTAATACATGAAATTATTGTTAATGATACATTTGATAAAGTAACCTTTCACTCAAAAGAGGCTTTGTCAAGTTAATAAATAATTTACATAGACACAATGAGCTTATATACGGGAGGGTGATAGAAGGGTGGTGGTGGTGGTGTTTTTATTGTGGTGATAGTGATTGTTGGTAGCGGCAGTGGTGGTGGTGATAGTAGTAGTAGTAGTAGTAACACTAATAGTACATAACAGTAATAGAAACAGTAGTGCTAGAGGTAATAGCAGCAGCAAAGGTGTCTCAAGTGATACTCTGGGATGTTTGAAGCAAGATTCATGCTAAAAATCTTTTGAATAATAACGGTGCTTCTGTTCTGTGTAACAGTGTTGGCAACCAATATGTAGTTGATAAGTAAGACTGTACAACACTAGGAATCTTTATTGCCCCTATTTTTCCAAGGTCTTTATTGCCCCTATTGTTCCAAGTTTGCACATGTGTCCTTTTTTATCAATCAACATGTAAGTTGGCTCCATGTATCTGCCCCGTGTCTGGCTCTGTGTTAACCACTCTGGCAATCTTTCATTTCATAAGGTAGTTAGTGTTCGGATGCATTGTATAGGTTACCGCAGCTTCTGACATGTGTTTGTTCAGGCGTGTTTCGAGGATGGTAGAAGTTTCTCCACCGTATACCTTTTCGCATCCCCGCAAGGAATGCCGTAAACCCCGGCGTGGAATATTTTTGTGTGCGAGATTTGGTGAGATGCTTGACGGAGACGCTAGTGGCGATGGCGACTTGGGTGTGTCCTCAGGTGAATGCTGTAGAGTCGTAGACACATTTTGAGCAACTTGCCGATTAAGGAGGTGAATGAATGTGCGGCATTTAGTGTCACTGCATGGAAAGAAACAATTTGGAAGACATGAAGGAGGAAAAAAGGAACCCAGAAAATGTTTGGTGTATGAAGGTACACTCTTCATCTAAGAACTCGAGCTGGTGATACAGAAAAACTTATTAATATATGCCTCGTTTGCTCTTGGTGTCTGTACTGGAGAAAAAGTGAATGAGATCGTGTTTATCAGTAGGCTTTCTGCAGACGCTGAGTGTGGGTGAATTAATGACTGTGTAAGAGGACGTCGAGAAACGGGAGTTTGCCACTGGTTTACTCTTCTGAAGCTAATTAAACTTGAAGGCTTAAGTGCGTTGCCTTCTTTATAGCTCGTGAAGAACGAAGAATCTAGGGCTAATGTGGTACTGTTAGGGATAATGATGTTGAAACATTCAGCTTCTAAGTGTTCCACGTAAAGATTCGCTAGTACGGAGCTGATGAGTGATCCCGTGATCATACTCTATATTTGCTAGAGTGTTTGTTAATGAAAGTGAAGTAGTTAAAAATGATGCAAAGTTCAAAAAGTCGTTTGGAGAACTAATAAAGTGAGGGTCCTGGACGACTCAGTGGTAAAGTTGACGACCTGCATCTTTGGAAGAAAGAAGTGACTTCCAGACTAGCTGGAGAAATGCCTGTGTGATTATCCCAGAACCAGACACAAGGAGGCGACAGTGAATGGAAGGCGCCCTCATATCTGTCTCCATCACTGTTACACATAATGAAAAATGACCGTATTATCTCATATTATAGCAGGAATTCTACTGTGCATCACAACAACACTGCCATCACCTGAGACTCCTTTGTTACAACAACAACAATTACTACCCACCTGCTCCCCTATATAATATACTTGTATTCATGTAATTTATATACTAGCTTGACAAATATCTGGTGGGAGAAACACTGCCTTAAGAAATGTCTCACTAGGATGCATGTGTTTTTACAGAAATACTTATAATAATAATAATAATAATAATAATAATAATAATAATAATAATAATAATAATAATAATAATAAAATTAACTAGAGATGGTATAATCACATCAGGGCAAGTGATGAAGATATTCCAGGGTTTTAGCAGTATATCTCAGAGTAAAAGATTACATAATTTTAAAAATAACAAAAGAGTTCCCCTGCGACATACCTGTGACCGGTTTCAAGTGTTATTTACCTTTGTAGCCCTGTCTCAAGCCAGTCTCTCCTGGCCCCACCCTCCTCTCCTCTCTCTCTCTTCTCTCTCTCTCTCTCTCTCTCTCTCTCTCTCTCTCTCTCTCCTCTCTCTCTCCTCTCTCTCCTCTCCTTCTCTCTCTCTCCCCTCTCTCTCTCTCCTCTCCTCTCTCTCTCTCCCTCTCTCTCTCTCTCCCCTCTCTCTCTCTCCCTCTCTCTCCCTCTCTCCCTCTCTCTCCCTCTCTCCCTCTCTCTCTCTCTCTCTCTCTCTCTCTCTCTCTCTCTCTCTCTCTCTCTCTCTCTCTCTCTCTCTCTCTCTCTCTCTTCCCCTAAGCGATAAGTCGTAGAGGTGGAATGACGTGGTTGGCATCAGATGCTACACAGAGTTGGTGGTGAAGATCCCTGACTTTTTTTCTTTGTAGATTCGCCGGTACAGTCGCCCGGCCCGGGCCTTTCCCAAGAGGTGGCCCGGCCTTGGCTCCCTGTTGTGAGAGTGTTTCAGACCAATATCTGCCATGGGAGGAGGTACAAGTACCTCATCTTCTGGGACTAGCTGTCCCCAGGCCTAGCCCAATTCCTCGCCCCCACGGGACTCGGAGGGAGAAGCTAGGCACCTTGGGCTGCCACAAACCCCGACCACACTGGGCTCGAAGGGTTTTGCAGCTGCATAGCAGCAGACGATGTCAGGAGGTGCGAAGGCAGCAAGCACTACAGGATCCTTTTGGAGTCACACCCCAGCATTGGGCATTAAGCACGAGAGCTGGGGAAGCTCAAGAATGCCTCTTGCTGTGTGTTGCTGTTGCTACCACTTTACTTGTCCGCTGCACTCTGAGACCCCTAGCGGTCCAGCTACAAGCTAGGTCAGCTGAAGAAGTTATCTGTACATCCCCTGCCAACTTCTGACATCCCTTCTTCCTCTCCCTCTTCTTTACCCCCTCTCTCTTTCTCTTCACCTCTCCCTCTATTCATCCCTATCCTTCCCTAGAAGAAAGCATAAATAAGAAAAACCTGCTACCTTCACTCAGTCCTTTCCTTTCCTCCCTCCCTCCCTCTCCCCTATCTTCTTCCCTCCCCTCCTATCCTTGGGATGCAGCCTACCTCATTAGTGAGAGCATTCAACTCTAAATCGCAAGGACACGGGTTCGACTCCCTGGCATGGAAAAACAATTGGACAATTTCTCCCTACAACCCCTTTCTGTTCACCTAGAAGTAAAAACAGGTGTAAAAGTTTTATTCAGCTGTCGTGGGTCGCATCCAGTGGGGGGAAGGGGTAAAACTGTGTTTAGAAAACTCCTGTACCTGCTGGAAGTAGGTACCAGCGTACCCACTGATGTTAATTATAAAAAGAATCTTTCTTCCCTTCCATCCTACTTCCCTTCCATCATTCTTCCCTCCCTCCCTCCTTCCTTCCCTCCTCCACGCTCCTGTCAGCGTTAATGACCATAATATATGTTTCAAAACAACACATTCATTACCCTAGGCGTAGCTGGGTGTCATGCAAGCCACAGGAGGGACGGGGTCTTCATCCCACGTTCCTGTACCGGCATGACACGTTGGGTACGCCGGGAAAGTGTAAGGAACGGACAGAAACGTAGGTTTTTTCCTAGAGAATCACATACGTTCTGGGTTCTTGGGAGAAGCAAAACGTGCCTTACATCACGCTCCAGCATCAGCGTAATAAACGTTCAGTGCTCTGGAGAAACGTAAGGAACGGCCCAAAACACATGTTCCTACTCAAGCACGTACGTTCAGGCTCGACGGAGAGGTAAGGAACGTGCTTTATTGCGCTTTTCTACACGAGAATGACATCTGTTTATTTCTGGAGGAAGAGATACTGGAGTTGGTGGTAGTGGTGGAGGATGAGGCAGTGATGCTGGTGTTGGTGGTAGTGGTGGAGGATGAGGCAGTGATGCTGGTGTTGGTGGTAGTGGTGGAAGATGAAGCAGTGATGCTGGTGTTGGTGGTAGTGGTGGAAGATGAGGCAGTGATGCTGGTGTTGGTGGTAGTGGTGGAAGATGAGGCAGTGATGCTGGTGTTGGTGGTAGTGGTGGAGGATGAGGCAGTGATGCTGGTGTTGGTGGTAGTGGTGGAAGATGAGGCAGTGATGCTGGTGTTGGTGGTAGTGGTGGAAGATGAGGCAGTGATGCTGGTGGTGGTAGTGGTGGAAGATGAGGCAGTGATGCTGGTGTTGGTGGTAGTGGTGGAGGATGAGGCAGTGATGCTGGTGTTGGTGGTAGTGGTGGAAGATGAGGCAGTGATGCTGGTGTTGGTGGAGGATGAGGCAGTGATGCTGGTGTTGGTGGTAGTGGTGGAGGATGAGGCAGTGATGCTGGTGTTGGTGGTAGTGGTGGAAGATGAGGCAGTGATGCTGGTGTTGGTGGTAGTGGTGGAAGATGAGGCAGTGATGCTGGTGGTGGTAGTGGTGGAAGATGAGGCAGTGATGCTGGTGTTGGTGGTAGTGGTGGAGGATGAGGCAGTGATGCTGGTGTTGGTGGTAGTGGTGGAAGATGAGGCAGTGATGCTGGTGTTGGTGGAGGATGAGGCAGTGATGCTGGTGTTGATGTTATGGTGGAGGATGAGGCAGTGATAC